ATTTTTGCTAGTAATGTGGCACAACCAAAGTTGTATATGAAGAACTAGGGGATAAGGTGAATCAAATTTTTTTTAATAGCTTGCAAAGCACTAAAGGAGTCTGAGATAATTACAAACATTGAAGTAGGCATAGATGTAATATGGATAATTGCAATGAGAATGGCATACAATTCAACTATAAAAATGCTTTCTACAATTTAGCTGAACCTCTTGCGACAAAACCTCAGGGATGTTGGGAACTGATGAGATCCAACATGCACCTTACTACTTCAAAGGCTCTCTCTTCCATAAAAGGATTATCTGATGGTAATTTGATAAAGCCCACAGTATGGATGACATGTCATCAATGGAGGTTCCACATAAGTGCATTTGTCTTTACCATCGTATTAGAATCTCGTGTGATCACTAATGTCCTGTCAGCTTTGCAAGGCAGTGGGTTTAAATCTGTCTCATGGATAACATGTATACTGTATTGCATTACTCCTGAAACTCTTGATTTTTGTAATTTGTCATTCAACACTGCATACACTATAATAACCTGCAGGCTATGTCAGCTTTACTTTTGAAATGTAATTTAAAAACAAAAGCAAACTGAATAATTGTAAGCAGTGTTGGTTATAGCTAACTTTTTCACTACAGTATTATGACCAATGTACAGACCCATAGCCTGAGTGAATTCACAGGGATAGGGGGCTACACCTAAAATAGGCTATCAGTCTGTTAATACTAGCTTAGGGCCTAGGTCTATAGGCTTGATTTATAAGCATAAATAGCCTAATACAATGGTTGAATAGTGCTGTTGGCTGACTTTATTATAAAATATCAACCTTTCCTAATTATTTACAAATACAGTATGAGGCTTTGTTTGTTTCAGAATTCTAAGGAGACAGCTGTCCTTCCAAGAAGTTACTAGTCCTGATGTATAAATAGTAAATCCTGTATTCCTAATATTTCTGTAGATACTGTATGACAAAATCATCAGTAATTTTGGCTAGCATAATTTCAAATTTCATCATTATACTAACTCAGATCATTATACCAACTCAAATTTCATCATTATACTGACTCGGAAATTGTGCAGATATAGTTGTAAATCCACAGCAGGAAGCCAGTGGAGGAGAAAGCAATGATGAAAATGAGGAAGATGTAGCAGAAAGAGTCTATTGATAGGTTATGTGTATTCTAATCTAACCACTCTGTAAAGCTGAGTAGCAATGCTTAGGTTTTCATTTGAAGATGAATCTCATGTCAAGATAGCAGGTTGTGTTCTCATATGTTCATTTATGAAAATTCTTGTTTTTAATCTGTTTCTTTTACTTTCTACTTACCAGTTCACCTACAGTGATTTTGCTAATAAGCAATAATTGCTGTAAGACAGTTAACTGTTTATTTATGATCAATAAAATGGATAATATTACATTCAACATGACAGTCTGATGATGCCACACACAAAAGAGTAGCTTGGTTATAAAGTAACATTCAAGAAACTGCATGATAATGCCACAATGCACAGGACAGTATAATGTTAATGCTGTAATCAGCAGAATAATCCAGTGATAATATCATGAGTAGCAGGATAATCCATTGTTAATCCCACATTCAACAGGTTAACCCAATCATCATGTCATGATCACCAGAAAAACCTGGTGATAACACAGTCAACAGAGCAAACTAGTAGTAATGTAATAATCAAGAAAAAAAAAAACTAAGGCTACTGCTATACACAGCAGTAACCAGATTTAATGTTACAGTCAATTGATCTATCTGGTGCTATTGTCTCAGTTAATAGTATAAAGGGGTGCTAATGCAATAATCAACAGGCAATTCTGGAATTAATGCCACTGTCACTATGAACTGAAGTTACTATTTATAGGCAATCTTGGATGAGCGAAGAAATATGAATGTGCTAGAAAAGGTGCGAATGATGATGATGGACCAACATCGAGATTATCACAAAGTGTAACAGATGCACATTATACACTTAATATTTGCAAAAAGAGATTCACAAAATATTTGTCACAGACAATGACTCCTCTGTATCTCCAGTGTTATGAAGCTGTTCTACATTAATGTATCAATCACATTTAGAATTTACCCATTTAAACTCTAGCACACCTAGAAATTATGTCTGAATCAATTATGGTACAGTAGTTACTTTCTAGCTAATGACCAAACAGTTAGGACATTATTGATGAACATTCATTAAATAAAAGGCAATAAAATGTAGACACTGTGCAGCATGTGGCTGAACAAAATCAGCTTACTCTTAATTGTTATATGACCTACAAAGCCTGACCAAGGGTCAGAAAGACATTTCTGTTGAAACTGTGTAACATGAAGTGTGAAATGGTATGGCCGAAGTGGAAGTAATAACATTGCGGCATCATTTCCACTAAGGAAAATTGTGTGGCCATGTAGAACATTGTTACATACCAACACTCATATTTCTGACATACAAACTGGCAACCCCCATATTAATTGCATATTATTAGGTGCCCACATTAATTATAAGATATTTGATTTTTCATTATGTACACAGTTTCCCCCCTTGCTTTATGTGATCAGCATGGTTTGCAAAGTGCATATTGAAGATTCTTATTATGCAGAATTAATGGTTTATGGCATGATTGAGCTTAGTACATCTGTCATGGGCCTAGAATACAACAGCATAAAATGAGACACCTGCATTATGCACAGTACTGGACATTCTTTTTTTAGGGGGTTCAATGTTACGGCAAGTTATACTTTACTGTATGTACAAAGTCAGCTTGTAATGATTTTTAAGTGGAAATTATGTGATACTAGTAAACAAATCATCTTAATACCAATAATTCAGAGGAAAATAAAAACTGAAGCTCCACACTTTAAATATCTGCATTTCAAAGTGTCCTCAGGGAGAATGACACACTTATAGGGAGTTAACAAGTTAGTGACTTATAATATAGGAGGCTTATTCTGATAACCAACATGGTTGCCAAACATTTGTTCAAATTTTGCATTGGACTTGTACTGTACTGTATATACATTTTAATACAGGTAATGTACTTAAAATGTACAGGATTTCTTTTATGCATTATTATTATACTTAAGGTTAGCAGTAAATCAAAAGGTCATACACTGCATGGAGAATGGGAAGCAATCAGGTTTGGTCCAAGGAAGGGGAAGACAATTCCTGCTCCTTAGATCAAGAGCCCTTCATCAGATTCAAGGAATATCCTTAGAGGGGGTTCTTAATGAATAAGCAGAATCTAATGATTATTTAACCTGCAAATAGACTAGATTATCCATGGGTTTTCTTACAGTACCCATTTTTTTTCAGGCTTATTCAAATTGTGTTTTGTTTCTATTAGCTTTTTCATATAATAGTCAGTATTACTCAGATTAGAATATTTAGAAATATGACCTCTAAAATACAAAAGAAACCCAAATCTTAAACAAAATTTATGCAGACATAATTTTGTATTATTAGTAGGGCATCTAGGAACATATTCTTCCCAGCAAATTTAAAGGGCCAACTGTACATTATAAGTTTTTGTATTTAAATATTCAGGTTCGTACTGTTTATAATTCAGCAAAATTTTACAATTAATGGGAGGCTTGTAAGGAGGTTGATAAGCTAATCAGCAACCATCAAGGGAGAAACACTACCAACCTTTATGTGAGTTTGTCATGTAAGCCTGTTAAATGTTTTGCACTCTGGCAGAATTGCTTTTTGTTTGAAGAGCACCCAAGATAACAGGTAAATCTTAAAAACTACTAAACTAGTACTTATATTCAGTACATGTTTATCTTTAATTTCATTTATTTCTTAACACTGTATAATAATTCTTTATCCTGCAATGCTTACTTTCCAATTTAAGAGGCCTGATCCAAGATCAGACTGCAGAGATGCAAGTCCTGGAACTATTAACAGATACACAGCAGATGTTACCAATCAATAGGATGTTTAGTCTAAGATGAAATATAAGATTGTATTCTAAGTCTGTTATAACAATATAAATATGCTGGCTACATGTGTCTCATAGATATTTCCTTGTCTGAAATATATGCATAATTAATTCTTGCTTTTATTGACGATCTGATGTATGACGCTTTGACACACAACCACTGAGACTTTATGAAACATTTAGTATAAGACCCTTGGTTCAGACACGTGATACAGTGCCCCGTGGCCTGGTAGCTAAAGCTCTCGCTTCACATGGTGAGTGTCTGGGTTCGATTCCCAATGAGGGTAGAAACATTGGGCATGTTTCCTTACATCAGTTATCTATGTTCACCCATCAGTATAAAATGGGTACCTGGGTGTTAGTCGACTGGTGTGGGTCGCATCCCAGGACAAGACTGGCCTAATTTGCCCAGAATGCTCTGCATAACAAGCGACTTTCTATATAGTAGTATGTCATTGATGTCAGCTAGGCCTGTATACCTTGTACATGTACTTGTAGAAATAAAGAAATTATTTTAATTATTATGATGATACATAATACTGGCTGACTATATTGGCCTGCAGCATGCATGTAGCAGTGAAGCTTGCATACCAAGTGGCATACATTATGCTGTATGTTGCTCTAATGGTGTTACATTATTAAAATTCATACAGTGAACTTAATGTCACATGCAGTCTGATAAAGCTATTGAGCAAATCTTAGAAAATATTGTTTGGCTAGTTTTATATTTAGGTTTCAAGCTGAGAATGCACATCAAAAATTAACAAGACTAACAATTTTAATTTTCATTTTTTAACATTAGCCATCTCCCACCAAAGCTATACAGTATTAGCTTAAATACTACTCTATTGGTAGTATTATATTAAAATTCCATTAGGCAGTTGAATCCATTGAGTGAATTTTAAAAAGCATCCTGATTGGTGTTTATTGCCACTTGGCTGAATTTACTGTAGTTAAATCTTATAGTAATGGCACTAATCTTGAAATTCCAAAAGAAAACTTCATAAAGGTGATAAGTTTGTATTGGTATGTGGGATATAAGAAAGACTCATATTTGACCTCATCATTGTTTTCATTAGTTTTGAACTATGTATGTTCATTCTTGATACATATACTGTTGTTATGATCATGGGGAGGCACTAAACCTGTATGGGTCATACATCATCTGGGAAATGGTGGGGAGTTAATTAGTTTTGATCTGAGGAAGGGAATGATAGCTCCATTTCCTTGAATCACGAGCCCTTCACCAACATCAAGGCACCCCCTTGAAGGGTCATTGTTTTTATACATGCTGATTGTGCACACATGGTGCTTCCATATATAGTTTGACCTTACAAGTATAGTACAGTAGGATGGCTGTATGCTTAGCATCAAACTATTTGCGGTATTTTCTTGAGGATGCAAGGTACTGTATTTGCCTAACTATAGCCTCTGCATACAAGTCAAAACACAGACCTATTTACTAATATTTTTTTATATGTATAAACATTACTGCAGTACAATACTCCCATTTTCTGGATATGATTATTATTAAAGAACATTGTTTCACCGTCAACAAAACCTATCAAGATGATTAACTATATAGGGAGTGCATAACTTATGAACAAGTAACACTCCTGGTGTTTCAACTTACAAATTAGTCATTTATAATCTTGAACCTATCATCCTCTAAAAAAAATAATAGTACAAAAGATAACTACATACATATGTGAAACATGTTTGTAACTGCAAATCAACATCCATAAAACAATTATTTTTTGAACATAGTGTCTTTTGCATCTTGTTTATATGTATGACTTGTTGTAACCTGGGTGTTTATAAGTCGGGTAACCTCTTGTTTATCTTAATTTTCTAATTACAGTTAATTTTAGCATGACTACCAGTAGTTTTTTCTCTATCAATTTCCTTAAAACTTTAAGAATTATTTAAGACATTTATTAAATACACTCTACTGAAACCAAGCATTTGCCTTAGTAATATAACTTGTAGACTCATTTGTGGAGTCATGGAACCTAATATAAAAATTGATAATAGTAAGGGAGTTGTGAATTTAGAAGCATATAGTAGTATTCTCATAACAGCAAGTCCTTGCTCTTATTAAAATTAAGCTTATAATGTCCCAGTTTTAGTACAGTATTTTGTCTTTGAAAAAGTTAATTTACTACTCCCTTTTGTAAATCATTCCCTTTTTATACCCCTGTTTGTCAGAAAAATTGTCTAATATTCTTTCAAAAACTTTTCCTCTTTAGTTTAGTTATAGCCTCTTGTTGTGGCAGTTGATGGGGGTTAGGAAGTCTTTCTTGTCAACTCTCTTCTAACCATTTAAAATCTTAAGTGTGGTTATCATAACTCTGCTTTATCGTCTATCATCCAAAGAGGCCATATTCATTAATATACTTTTACCCCTTGTCCATAATTATTTTTTTTTTTTTAGCTCGGGGAGCCATCTTGTAGCTCATCTTTGGTCTTTTACTAGCTTGGTCATCACTTTTTTTTTAAGCTGCAGACAGTTTAATCACTGTACACTACAGTTTTGATTTAGTGTATGTTTGAACAGATTTTTCAGCATTTCCACATCTGTTTTAAAGCTGACCAGTGTCACAAGAGTTTCTCAGTATTTCATCTGTGATTTTCCAGTGTCAATCTTTTTGTTAATGATAACTCATAGGTCCTTCTTTTGTCAGCTCTTTAATATTTAATTTTATAGAGTGTATTCTTTGGTGGCCTGTTTTCAGATTCCCCCATTTCTATTACATGGCATTTACCCATCCTTGTAGTTTTCCTTACAAAAAACTGTAAAAAGTTTAAATAGATGAATGAGGAAACCATCTAGAGAAAAGGTTTTGACAAAACAGTATCAGCACAATTTAAGATATGGTGAGAACCTTACTAGATAAGAAGTAGCATAAGGTTGGATGGTGGAATATACAAACTTAATCAAGTGCATATGCAATCAGTGCTGACAAAATTAAGATCTGACAACCAAGAATAGCCCTCCTAATCTTCAGGTCACTACTTTGCTATTCTCTCATGTCTTGAAGTACAACAAAAGCATGAAGCTTCATTCATTTTCTAGGAAATATTCTTTGCTCGATGTCATTTTTTTCTGGTTATGCTCACATACGTGTAAATTAATTATACAGTTAAAGTTAGGTTACAAACACCATGATTAAGATACTGCAAAATCTCTTGATAATAGCTCTGTCTAGATTATTATTTTTATTTGTAAGACAAAACAGCCTAGCTCTATAATATTGTATTTAGGGTAGCCACAGATTGAGACTTCACTAGCAGCACAATAAAAAGGTAGAAATGACAACAAAACAGGACACTGCTTTTCTGAGCCTGGGATACTTTAATTTATAGTTATTTTAAAATCTGCGTGAATACATTACCTGCGGCTACGGTATATAAGCTGGTGACTAAATGCTGTATATACACCTTTCCATATTTTGCAGTTTTGGTAATGTATAAAATTAATTATGAAGTCATACTGCAATTGTACCAAATAATAATTAAATATCTCTACAGTATTATGCCTTAATGTAGCAATACCACCATTACTAATTTCATTGTATAAGATCACTTGTAAGCCATTAACTACTGGGCTTAAAAAATTCCTAGCTTAATCTAATAATACCTGTCAGACAACTGAACATAGGTGTGTATTATAGATATGAACCTATTTTTCTGCCAAACGTGAATATAATACTGTATTGAATCTGTTTAACGATATCAGAGGTATACATAGAAAATTATGGACATATGTTGTTATTATTATTACATTCATGGGGAGCACTGAACTTGTAAAGGTCAAACAGTGCCTGAGGGAATGAGAGGCAATCAAGTTTGCTACAGGGAAAGGGATGTCAGGTATAATTCCTTGGATCAAGAGCCCCTTAACAGCATCCAACATATATTAATAATATTTACATAGTATGCCAATGGACCTAGCATGCAAGGAACATCTCTCTATTATATAAGTATAATTAGCACAAGACAGCAAACCTTGATACTATTAAGGGATTATTGATAGAAAAGAATCAGAGACAGCCTCCCCTTACTCAGATCAAACCTGATTACCTCTCATTTCCCAGGTGCTCTATGACCCCTGCAATTTGTGCATCCACATGAATATAATAGTAATGATTAGGAAGTAAAAGACAGCAAGTAAAACTAAAAACACTTTAACTTGAAGCAGAGCTTCTGCTGTTGTAAGGCAAGTTAGGTTAATTACTCTTACCTAAGAAATTATGATAGTGATTTACCTTAGTATTAGAGTAAGTGTAAATAGCATATACACTATCATGAATACCAGTCAAATTCATATAAATTTTTGTATTGCAACTATAGTTTAAAACTATACAGTATATGAATAATTATGATATCTGGTGTTGCTATTTATGTACCATCCCAACAATATTTTAAAAATAATTATTTGCAGAGCTTCAGATTCCAATTATTCAATGGTGATCTAAACCACAGAAAAAATTAATAAAACCAATACAGGTGCATGGAAAGCAGTTTCGTTACAGTGAACATACACAGGAGTTTGGCTATTGGGGTTTTGCACATGACATCATAGGTTAATTGTTAGCCATATTGGACATACCATGCATGTAAAATTTCTCTCATCTTTCTAAGCCTGTATGATGGCCACTGATTATTGTGCTGTTAGTTGTAGTAATTGCCAAGATGATGAGTCAAATTTAACATTCTAGAGGGTCCCCTAAGGATTTTGTTAAGACAAAAATGAAGGATTTCCGCTTTCCTTGGATCAAACATAATTACCTCCCATTCCTCAGATGGATGACCCTACGAGTTTAGTGTTTCACCATGAATGTACAGGTTGGCTATCACTAATCTGGCAGTCAGTAATCCAGCACTAATTTCAGCTAGCATAATTTCAAATTTCTGAGGTCGCAACACCAACCTGCCATTACTGTTTGGTGGCATTACTTGCTGCATAAGTCATTCCAATTTCTTTTTCTTCATTTATTGTTATAACCTGCTCACTTTTAGCCCTAGCCATGGGTCCAACGAATAAAAAAAATGCTTATCGTTGTGTAAAGCACATACACTGTGCATTGTTCATATAAGATAAGGTGGCTTTGAAGCCACTGTCGGTTCCCATGAGCTCAGCTTACTCAGATAAACTGTGACTGGTAAATTTGGGCCTGTGTGGTAAGTGCGCACTACATAAAAAAATCCTGCAGCACAGTGCATAATGAGAAAAACAGGCAGCTGTGCATTTGGTGTAAAACAGTGACTTTGCGGTGTATTTCCGTATGGTTTGTATGGTTGTATTCTCGTTTTTCTGGTCTCAGTTGATAGAATGGAAGATATATTACAAAAAAATAGATATAATTTTGATTGGTTTCACACCGGAAAGTACCTTAAAATTGAGCTCAGAGTAGGGGAAATGTTTGATTTTTGCCAATGTTCAAGAGTAAACAAATGATGTCACCATCCAATACGTGTCCAACTGGCCAGTCTAACAGTCACGAATGGGTTGATATTATTTATACAATTACAATAATGCAGTAGTCTGATTAACAGTAAATTATTTTTTGTGTGAATAAAAATTCAAATTGGAAAGCAAGCGTAATATAAGAGGGGCCTGGAGACATGACTAATGAACAAAAAATTTTATTTTAGTGCTAGGAATGTCTGCATTGTTTATTCTGGATCCTATTTTGAAATTGGCATCTCTTGAAATTTGTGTGAAATTGGACAAATTTCCAATTTCTGACCATTTTATTGGGTAGCTGAAATAGGTAAATGGGCAGTTTCTTGTACTCATATGAAAGATAGAAGGAATACTAGCGAAATAGCAGTGAGTTTCGTAGACAGGAACAATGGAATGGGCCAAAAATAAGGAGTAAAGTGGTGGAAATCGCTGACGAATAAATATTGCTGTTGGGTTAAGTGTATTCTAACCTAACCACTCTGTAATCTGGCACCCTACAGGTCCCAATGATGCTGGATTAGTGATGGCCAACCTGTATAACAATAATAATAATTGAATAACACCAAAGTTAACATTAAGTGAGCACTATTATTATAATGCAGCACTGTATAACAAATCTGGCTTTAGCACTTATATTTATTTATTTTTTTCATCATGTCAGCCATCTCCCACTGAGGCAGGGTGACCCAAAATGACACTTTCACCATCAGTCACACATAATCACTCTTTGCAGAGGTGTCCAGCTACAACAGTTTAGATACCACTCCAAACAGCCAATATTCCAAACCCCTCCTTTAAAGCACAAGCATTGTACTTCCCATTTCCAGGACTCATATCTGGCTAACTGGTTTCCCTGAATCCCTTCGCAAAATACTACCCTGCTAACACTCCAACAGCTCATCAGGTCCCAAAAACCTCTTGTCTCCATTCACTCCTATCTCACATGCTCACACATGCCTGCTGCATGTCCAAGCCCCTTGCAGACAAAATCTCTTTTACCCCCTCTCTCCATCCTTTCCTAGGACGACCCCTACTCGTCCTCCCCTCCACTACAGATATATACACCCTCTGAGTTATCCTATTTTGCTCCACCCTCTCTAAATGACCAAACCACCTCAATAACCCCTCTTTAGCCCTCTAAACAATACTTTCAGTAACTCCACACCACCTCCTAATTTCCACACTACGAATTCTTTCCACAATATTTACACCACACATTGCCCTTAGACATGACATCTCCATTGCCTCCAGCTTCCTTCTCGCTGCAGCATTCATAACCCATGCTTCACACCCATATTAGAGTGTTAGTACCACTATACTCTCTTAGATAACGTTTTTTTGTTTCCGCAGATATCTCAATGCACCACTCCTTTTTTCCTTCATGAATTCTATGGTTAACCCCATCCTTCATAAACCCATCTGCTGCATCTGCTGACAAATCTAATCCCAAATATCTGAACACATTCACTTCTTCCATACTCCTTCCCTCCAATGTGATAACCAATTTTTCTTTACCTAACTCATTTGATACCTTCATCACCTTACTCTTATCTATGTTCACTTTCAATTTTCTTTACACACCCTCCCACTCATCCACTAACCTTTGCAACTTCTCTTTAGAATCCCCCAAAAGCACAGTATCATCAGCAAAAAGTAACTGTGACAACTCCCATTTTGAATCTGATTCCCCATAATTTAATCTTACCCCTCTCCCCAGCACCCTAGCATTTACTTCTTTTACAGCCCCGTTTATAAATATCCTAAACAACCATGGTGACATTACACTTCCCTGTCTAAGGCCTACTTTTACTGGAAAGTAATCTCCCTCTCTCTTACATTTAATATTTGACATTAATTCAGGAAGCACTAAAGCTATAGTGGGTAACAGCATCTGGGAAGGGAATCAGATTAAATCCAATGAAAGAAGCAGTAGCTTAAATTCTATGGATTAACAGCTCTTCATTAAGGCAGCGAGAGAAGAAAATAAGAAGTGCTCCAAGTCTTCATCACTTTTTATTCTTTTTTATATCTATGAGTAATTGATCATGTTATGTATTCCAGCATCACAAGTTGTTATATGTGTAGCTTAACCTTTTCCTATTGTGACCCCCCAGAATTAAAAGTGCTGAAAGCATCACAACTTTTCAGAAATAAAAAGAAAATTTTATCTTCAGAAAAAGTTCTCTACCGTTTCAGGAAATAATGACAAAAAATGAGAAGCTTGATGGAAAACTTAAAGAATTACACAGGTACAGAGTTGACAGTCTGGCCGCAATATGTGTTTTGGTGATTTCACCCACTTTAAGTCCTATTTTAAGCTAATTCCATTGCTCAATTTGACACAATTCCTAGTTACTTCATTAGTGTGCCTTCTCTTCTATCTACCCATTTAACCATCAGAACTACCCAGTAAAGTTCATAGAGGTTGGTAATCTGACCAGTTTTACACAACATTTACCAAATTCCAATTTAAAAAGGTACAAAATAAACACTATAGGAATTCCAGTCACTAAAGCAACCTGTCCTCCATTCATTACTCACATCCACAGGTCTCTCCTATAATAATGCTTGCTCTCCATCTTGAATCTATCACACACACAAAAAAATCAAGTTTTACCTTATATCTCAGATAATAAAATATAACCAAGAATGATTGGTCATGGTTTAGGCCATCTCATTAACTGAAGCAGACCTAGTAAAATTTCATAAAACAGACCAGGCAAGGCTCAACTCTTCCTCAATAGGTTCTTTTTATACTGTGCATATCCACTGCACAGACCCATTCCCTAATGTCTAGACTGCTCACAGCATATTTAGGGGCATCATGCTTAAAATGTAGATCCACGTGAACAACAGAGGCTTCAATAACATATATCTACGTGGAAGACAGTGAAACGGTTAAAGTGGGCAATATACGGGGAGTCAAACCTTAGCATCAAATGACAGATGGATTAATAATTATTTATAGAGTACTAGACTTTGTAAATGTTTACAAGATGGTGTGTTTCAACCCAGCTAATTGGAGTGTGGTGGTGTACCAATAGGTGCTAAAATAAATATACGTAGGTGAAAACTTACCTTTCATAAAGTATGATGATTCACCTACAAGAGGCATAATCAAGTACTGTTCTTTTGTAGGTTAAATTTCATATTTAATAAAGTCCTGCTTTAATTATATAAGTTTCACTCTTTTATGCAAATTCTCTATTATGCAATGTCCTATTTCTGTCAGCAATTCTGTGTATATAATATATGACTGACATACACAATTGGAACGGTTCACAAAGAGCATTAAGATTCTTATACAAAATTAAGTGTTTATTGCCTAATTGAGTTTAGTATATTTGCCATACTCTTGGAATACATCTACAGCATAAAACAAGGGGCATACTTTATTTTTTTAATGAACCCCAGGTATTTTACAGTGACTTAAACTTCTTACCCAACCCCCAGCAAAGTACTAGCTAGTATTAAGCTTTTACATACTTTCTAATGTTTACCATATGATATAAATAGTGAGTTTATCACAAAGCTTATCAATACAAGTTTGTGCTGAGTCACCATCAATATGGCTAACAAGTGTAAATCAGCTGATTTAAGTCACGATTGCAAAACCTCAATACACTAATTTGGTTATAAGTCTGAGCACTTACACATTATCAAAATATGCAATTAGCAAGAGCTACTTAACTTGCTTTTGAATACACACTTCAATTTGACTCACACATTTTAACTACAGTATTTGCAAAATAAGATGACTAATTCATTTTTATTTTTAAAATAAAAGATGGTAACATAATAAGGCTTTTCTGACTGTAAATGCTGGAACTACTTAATATTTATTTTCTGACATACATTAACACTAATATACAGCAGTTTGATTTTTAACAATACACAAGTGGAGCTAAATATTAAAGCACAGAGTGCATGTCCTTTGTGCTCAGACTTCATTATTTAATAATGCATTTTCATATACTGTACTGGATTGAGACCATGCCCTGTTATCTACACTTATGAAAATTTTCTGTACTAAATTTTAATAAATTGTCAAGGACTTACAAATTAAGTGTCTTGTTGATATACAAATTAAGTGTCTTGTTGATATACAATTTAAGTGTCTTGTTGATATACAATAAGTGTATGAGGCTTTCTCATTTCAAACCTACCTCATCTTGAAAAAACTGAATATATCAACAGGGTTATACCTTGAAGCTTATTATTACTGATCTTAGCCAAACTCCTTATTCTATCTAACCAATATGTTAGCCTAGGCAGTGAATTATACAGCTAACTTTCAATCCCCAGCACGAATTAAATGTTTTTTTTTTTTTTTTTTGTATTTTCTGATAAACTCTCTGGTGCTTTGGATAAAATGTCTAGTTATTGTAGACACATGTTGCAGATCAATAAATAAATGCTGTTCACCACCCTGGATAAATTCTTCTCTCAATTAACCATTAGCCAGTAGGTACTATTAATTCAGCACAACTTTTATATTCCTAAGGTATATGTTGTACATTTTCTTCCTTAATCCTCAGATAAGAGGTGGGTTTAATATTTTTTTTTTTATCTATGACTCGGTAAGATTATACAGTTTAAGACAAGTCACATTATTATTATTATTACAATCAAGGGGGAAGCGCTAAACCCGGAGGATTATACAGCGCCTGGGGGGGTATGTGGAAGGCATTCAGGCTTAATTTGGGGAACTGGAGCACAGATCCAATTCCCTAAATCAAAAGACAAGTCACAAAATTTTGTACAGTTTTGAATGAAAGACTTGGTAAATAATAATTTTGCTGAATAAATTATTACAATACATACTTATAAATACGCACATGACTCGGTTTCTCATTACCTTGACAAAAAGTCCTTATCTCATGGTAGTGGTGGGAAGGGAGGATGCCTAGGATTTAATGGACCCAGAAGTCGTATGATCCCACACAAGTTTAGTGTTCATGTCTTCAAATAATAATACTGGATCTATTAAAAAAGATGTTCTTTAAATATTCAAGTATGGTATGTGAACTGCTTTTTCTAAAAATTTTGTTTTTAATATTCAGTGTTTTACCTAATATTTTTAAATACTGGAATTGGTTACTATATATTTTGGTTACAACTGCATAAAAATGCTGATGAGTTTAAGTTGATCTGTGAGAAAATTTACAGGTTTGCAGGCAGATTGAGAGCATCTGTAAACCAAGTGATTAATTATTATGTATGGAGATAAAGTCTGCCACCATTACATAGACAAGGCCTTGAAGAGATGAAATTATGACAACATATAAAACAGTTGTGCATTAGGCAGTAAAATACAAGACATATTTTATTAAAAAATATAACAATAAGAGACAAACACCTGATAAGATACAAACAATGTTACAATCTTAGGAAAATGTTTGCAGTGTCATGCCAATGCCATTCTATCAGCAACAGCTACATCACTTGCTACAGCACCTTGAGCTTAAAAGCAGTGTTGTAAAAGCTCTATATCATTTACTGTGTAGCATGCAGTGGTTATCAATAGAGCCATATTTGATACATTTGTCCAAATTGATGTATGTAATACAAAACTGAAACAAATGCAATTTCAAAGAAATGACTATGGAAATCCTTACTACAGTGCCTGGACTGGTATGGTAATCTTAATCGGATACAGAACAATGTTCCGAAATCAACTGGTCAAGTATGACAATATTCCTATTATCAGATGAATTAAAATGGCAGTTCTACAGTTCAATATTATTATAATTCTATTATTTAATAACCAAGCTGTGTAGGTAAACTCTGCTCTGCAACTGCATGATTGCCTAGATATGGTGAGCCTGGTGTAACTATTTGGTACACCTAGTGTGATCAAAAATGAATATAACTCTGCTATTGATCAGTTGCTCAGTTGAAGAAAATTCAGTCATGGCAAGTGTGCTCTACCTAGACATGACTACCCTACTCTCTGATCCCTGGTCAGGAATTACAATCCTATTGGGATACTTTTTTCGGTATGGCAAACCACCTTAACGATCTGATTTGGCATTAATGGTAACTGTACTATCATACGGGACGAAATGATAATTAAATTCTGTGATTACTTGTTGGTATGGTAATCCAATTATACTGGTCACTTGATAAGGTATGGTTACCCCTCTAAGATCACCTGTCAGATGGGATACCTGTAATTTTATTATTTGGTTATCTGATCAGTTATGGCAACCATCTATGATATCTAGCCAAGTAATGTTCTTCAGATATCATCTGGTCAGGCATTGAAAATCCACCTTGTGATATCCTAGTTAGGTATCCCACCCATGATGCATAATGACCTAGTTATGTACGACATATCTTGTGTGATCCCACTGTGTGATATCCCAGTTAGGTATGCCACTTGATCTGTGATAACCTAGTTATGTATGACAAGTCTTGTGTTATCACCTAATTCAGTGTGATAACTGTGTGATCATGAAGCAGTTTTTTTAGGAGACCTAGCTGGGGACTTTGCAACTGGAGATTTAGCTGCAGATGATTTGGCAACAGGTGACTTAGGTTGTGGAGACTTGTGAACTTTACTATAGGATTTGTTGCCACCACGTGGCGAACTTGGAGAGATAAGGGGAGACGATCCACGGGATGGAGTCTTTCCATGGACGTTCTTGGTGATGGCAAGAGTGGTGGGGTGCTCCAAGTTGGGAGTGCCTGGTGGGGATGTGGAGGGAGTATTATTTAACCCATGGTGTCTCTTCTTAGGACTGCCATGTGGAGTACGAGCCAAGTGTTCTGGAGAATTTGAGGTTCTTGATATAGGAAGTGGTGGAGGCATGTGGGGTAGTATCAGAGTTTTCATCTCCACAAATTTCTTCAAAATATCATCCTGAAAATGTATGGACAGTGTGTTAGAAAATTTTTTTTGCTTGTGTCCATTGCTTTTAATTTAGAAAGTTAAATCCTAATTCAGCATACCAATAAAACATAAGACAAGAGGGGCAAGGATATGGGAAGGTTGTTGTTATTATTATTATTATATTGTAGGCTGTTAGCTAGCAACTACCCAGGGAGGTATTGTTGTCCTGATGTGTAAGACAAAAATGTAGTTGCTTTACACTCTTGCAGGATTGATGGTCTCTCTACTTTCTGTCTCATAAACATGTAAGATGACAAGTTAATCTTGTTATAAGTATCTGCACTCAGTATACCCTCCACATGTGAATATGCACTCAAATGATTTATATAAAGAAAAATTGGATATCACATTGGAAGGAGGGAGTATTGAATGTTTTCAGATATTTGGGAGTTGACTCGTCAGCGGATGGGTTTATGATGGATGAGGTTAACCTTTAAACTGTCCAAACATAGATCTTCTTTTTGTTTTTTTACATTTGAAAATGTGTAAAAAAAACTGTGATCTACTTTTTTTTGTTATATTTGAAAATATGTAAAAAAACGTAGATCTACTTTTGGAGCACTACGCATGTGAACATAGATCTGTTTGGACAGTTTAAGGGTTAACCATAGAATTGATGAAGGAAAAAAGATGAGTGGTGCATTAAGGTATCTGTGGAGACAAAAATCTTCACCCATGGAGGCAAAGAAGGGAATGTATGAGAATATAGTGGTACCAACACTCTTATATGTGTGTGAAGCATGGGTTTTGTAAATGCTGTAGTGAGAAGGCAGTGGAGATGTCCTGTCTAAGGCTATGTGTGGTGTTAATATTATGCAGAGAATTCACAGTGTGGAAATTAGGAGGAGGTGTGGAGTTACTAAAAGTATTAGTCAGAGGGCTGAAGAGGAGCTGTTGAGATTGTTTGGTCATTTAGAGAGAATGGAACAAAGTAGAATGACTTGGAGAGCATATAAATCTGTAAGGAAAGGAAGGTGGGGTAGGGGTCAGCCCTGAAAAGGATGGAGGGAGGGGGTACAGGAGGTTTTGTGTGTGAGGGGCTTGGACTTCCAGCAAGCATGCGTGAGTGTGTTAGATAGGAGTGAATGGAGACGAATGGATTTTGGGACCTGACGAGCTGTTGGAGTGTAAGGTAATATTTTGTGAAGGGATTCAGGGAAACCAGTTAGCTGGATTTGAGTCCTGGAAATGGGAAGTACAATGCCTGCACTTTAAAGGAGAGGTCTAGGATACTGGCAATTTGGAAGGACATTTAAACTGTCGTATCCGAGCGCCTCTGGAAAGACAGTGATTATGTATGAGTGATGGTGATAGTGTTGAATGATGATGAAAGTTTTTTCTTTCTTTTTGGGTCACCCTGCCTTAGTGGGAAACGGATGACGTGTTAAAAAAAAATGTATGCGCTCAGATGAGTTTAATTCTAATTTCTTAATAATTCTTGAACCTGTAATATTTCCTTTTAATTCCTAAAGAAGCAGATAAGATTCCTTTCCTGTAAGAAATACACATTGTACAAGATGGTTAGAATGTCAGGAGCAAGGGGATAGTAACTTCTTCTCAATCATTTACTTAAAAGACAAAGAAGGAAATTTTAAATTTGGGTTGTTTGAATGTGCTGGGCGATGTACGTACAAATGAGAAGTTAATTGTTAATGTTTTGAAAAAAAAGCTGGATGTCTTAGCACTAAGCAATACAAGACTAAAAAAAAAGGGGTGGGAGAACTTTAATGAGGAGTAGTGGTAATACTAAATGTTCAGCTATGGGGGGGGGGGGGAAAGAGAGATTTAAGTACAGTGGACCCCCAGTTATCGGCTGGTTCTGTTATCGGCCAACTTGGTGATCGGCCGGTTTTTCAGCGCCCGGTTATCGGCTGTTAATTCGGTGATTGGCCATTTGGGACGTGTCTGTCCACCGCCCCCAGCCGCTTGCGCGTCAGTTTGGCTGTGTGTCTGGGCGAGTGAGGAAGCTTCTGCTCATTCATCTAAACATTTTGCTATAATCCATTGTTTTTTGTGGTTATTGATTGAGTGCAACTGCGAGATAAGCAACCATGGGCCCAAAGAAACACGTTACATAGTATATAAAAACATGAAATGTTTATATGCGATGTATATTTAATAATAATCACTGGTATATTAAATGTCTTATTTTACATTAATATAGACATTTTCATTAATCCATCTATGATAATTTCTTCAAAATTATATAAGAAACACGTTACATAGCATATAAACATGCACTGTTTATTATATGCAATGTATATTTAATAATCACTCTTTGGCACATTAAATGTCTTATTTTACATTAATATAGACATTTTCATTAATCCATCTATGACATCATCCTCAAAATTATATATATAAACATGCAATGTTTATATGTTATCGAGTGGAGAGTCGGATGGAGAGTAAAGATTACATTTTCTCTGATGCAGCATTAGAGAAAACTGTGAACCTGGCGACTGGTGCAGTAACCACCCTTCATATGCGTTTGTTTACAATTCTCAGCATGAATTATTCATTACTTCTCCCTTTGTATATGATGGCATCTGATAAATTAGACACATGTGTGTAACTCTTGGGTATCTTTATTGAGGAAACGTTTCGCCACACAGTGGCTCCATCAGTCCATACAAAGGAGAATTGTGAAGAACAGGAGAAGAATGAGGTAATCAGTCCCTCAACCTTGAGTCGATGTGGTCAGTCCATCAGTCTTGAATAGAATACAGCATATGTGCTGAGAAGTAGCTTATACAGTGGACCCCTGACATTTGATGGCATCGACATTCAATAAATCTGACATTCGATGCATTTTAACGCAAAAATTTTGCCTCAACATTCGATGGAAAACCCGACATTCGATACGATTCGTACGAAATGTGTCCACGTGTGGCCTGAACTGCCCCGTGTGTGCCAGTGTTTACAAGCCAGCCAGTGTGCGCACATCTAAGGATACATTCGGTACATTCCATATTATCCATATTATCACTGTTTTTGGTGCTTGTTTCTGCAAAATAAGTCACCATGGGCCCCAAGAAAGCTTCTAGCGCCAACCCTGTGGTAATAAGGGTGAGAATTAGTATGGAATTTAAGAAAGATTTTGAAGGGTTTGGGGCTAACCCTGAGAAGCCTATGCCAGTTGTGGAATCCATTGTGCCTACTTCAAAGATTAAGGAAATGTGTGCAAAGTGGGTTGAACTGCAAACCTTTATGGATAAAAATCACCCTAACACAACTATTGCAAGCCGTGCTGGTGACTATTACAATGACAATGTTATGGCCCATTTTAGACAAATCTTAAAGGAACGGGAGGTACAGAGCTCTATGGACAGATATGTTGTGCGACAGAAGTCCAGTGACTCTCAAGCTGGTCCTAGTGGCATTAAAAGAAGAAGGGAAGTAACCCCAGAAAAAGACTTGATACCTCAAGTCCTAATGGAAGGGGATTCCCCTTCTAAACACTAACACCATCCACACACTCCCCTCCTCCCATCCCATCATTCATTCATTCATTAAAGATTTGCCGGTACTTCCGGCCCGGGTCTTCTCCAGATGGTGACCCGGCGCCCATCCCATCAATCATCACCAGATCTTCATTAAAGGTAAGTGTCAATTATTCTATTGTTATTAATCTATTGTTATTGTTGTTATTGTAATTATTCTATTGCATTAAACTTAATATTTCATGTGGTAAATTTTTTTTTTTCATACTTTTGGGTGTCTTGCACGGATTAATTTGATTTCCATTATTTCTTATGGGATAAATTAATTCGATTTTCGATATTTTCAACATTCGATGAGCTCTCAGGAATGGATTAATATCGAATGTTGAGGGTCCACTGTATACCGTAGACAGGAGAGTTGTAGCAGACATAGATGGTGTCACATTTGTTCAATGTGGAAGTAGGTCATGCCTAAGGGTTAGGCAAGCGAAGAATTCCCAAGTATTAAGATCCCAAGAAGTTGCAGTGTCTGACAGGATTGTAGACAATCCTGTCAGACACTGATAGGATTACTAACAAATTATTTGCCAAACAAAATTTTCAGTGCTTCCCAAGAAATAAGCTTTGATAATTCTATTTACTCATGTTTAAGTCGCAATCAAATCCAACCCCTCTCACCAATGTATTTTTTTTTATTATTTTTTTATTATCACGCTGGCCGATTCCCACCAAGGCAGGGTGGCCCGAAAAAGAAAAACTTTCACCATCATTCACTCCATCATTGTCTTGCCAGAAGGGTGCTTTACACTACAGTTTTTAAACTGCAACATTAACACCCCAAGGTTTTAGCGTCAGTAACTCTACTAGCTAGACCTTTCCTCTCATCAAGTTCCCTATTGCAAACCTAACTACAGCTTTTTATATATATTTGTAAGATTACAGACAGTATGTAAAGTAAAAGGACACAAGTGCAACTAATGTGACATTTTATAAAATGTGACATTAGTTGCACTTGTGTTCCTTATACTTTACATAACTATAGTATTACCAAACCAAATTACCCTATTACCAAACCAAAAGTACCCTATTACCAAACCAAAAGTACCCTATTACCACACCAAACTACCCTATTACCAGAGTGCTTTCATGCGATTACTAGCACATGTTCAGAAAATTGGGAAGCAAATGCCAATATCATTTTCAGTTTTACCCAAGCAATGAACTTTGATAACCGTTTCACCTAAGATGTTAGACGCTGCAACTTCTTGGGATCTTAATACTTGGGAATTCTTCGCTTGCCTAACCCTTGGGCACGACCTACTTCCACATTGAACAAATGTGACACCATCTACGTCTGCTACACCTCTCCTGCCTATGGTATATAAGCTACTTCTTGGCACATATGCTGTATTCTATTCAAGATTGATGGACTGACCACATCGACTCAAGGTTGAGGGACTGATTACCTCATTCTTCTCCTGTTCTTCACGATTCTCCTTTGTATGGACTGATGAAGCCACTCTGTGGCAAAACGTTTCCACAATAAAGATACCCAAGAGTTGCACATGTGTCTAATTTTTCAACGTGTCAGTTCTCTGAACCATTCATCTACAATGATGGCATCTAAAGGTAGTTGTTAGAAACGATTAAAGTCAGTGAACAGTGTAATAATATGGCTATATAGTGTAATAATATAGCTTTGTAGTTTAACCTTGGGGGAAGGGGCTACATGTGTGTACTGTACCTACATCTACCTCTACCTACACTGACTTCCTACAAATAAATACTACTCACCTCTTGCCCTACATTAAGACTACAAATATTTTAAGGTAAGTAATGAATGTACTGTAGCAGTAAATGACAGAGATTAAAGAGGTGTGCAATGTGGACTAGGGTGCAAGCTTTTGTAGAGAAACACCGCCCTGATCAAACTGAAACAAGCCGTATCTGTAACATGTTCATTGACAAAACCCTGTCCCACTTCAGGGAAATCTTAGAGAGATGCCAGAAACAGACCTCTATGGACAGATTTGTTGTAAGACACGAGTCGTGACTCTCAAGCTGGCATTAAAAGACAAAGAAGGGAAGAAGTAACCCCAGAGAAGGCTTTGCTACCTAAAGTCTTTATGGAGGGGGGATTCCCCTTCCAAACACTAACTCCTCCCTCTTTCCTCTTCCCTATCTTCCAGAAGCCAGCATTAGCCTTCAATAAAGGTACGTAATACTTATATAATTGTTTAAAAAATTATTTTTTTGTGAATATTTTTGTCTGGAACGGATTAATTGTATGTATTTCCATTAATTCTTATGGGAAATATTAATTCGGTTTTCGGTTATCGGCCGACCTTCTATAATGAATTGCGGCCAATAACTGAGGGTCCACTGTATTCAAATTCAAGTACTATGTGAATTAGAACATAGAGAGAAACTGGTAGATAGATAGCAATATATATTAATAACATCTTATATGAGTAATACGAGTATCAAAGAACCAGAGGTGAATGTGGGAAGTGTGCATGAGGCAGTGGGTGGAATGAAAAAGGGCAAAGCAGCTGGAACAGATGGGATTAATACAAAGATGTTAAAAGCAGGTGGGGATATAATTTTTTGAGCAGTTAGTGTATTTGTTCAATGTATGAATGAAAGAAAAAGTACAGTGGACCCCCGGTTCGCGAAGCCATCGGTATCCGATAAATCCGGTATCCGAAGCATTATATCGCAAAAAATTTGCCTCGGTTCCTGTTACAAAACCCAGTATGCAATACGATTTGTACGAGACGTGTCCACGTGTGGCCTGAACTGCCCCATGTGTGCCAGTGTTTACAAGCCAGCCAGTGTGTGAGCATCTAAGGATACATTCGGTACATTCCATATTATCCATATTATCACTGTTTTTGGTGCTTGTTTCTGCAAAATAAGTCACCATGGTCCCCAAGAAAGCTTCTAGTGCCAACCCATCGAGACCAAGGGTGCTACTGACTATTGAAATTAAGGAAATGTGTGCAAAGTGGCTTGAAGTGCAAACCTTTTTTGATGAAAATCACCCTGACACAGCTACTGCAAGCCGTGTTGGCAACCTGTACACTGACAATGTTGTGAACCACTTTAGAAAAGTCATAAAGGAACGAGAGGTACAGGCCTCTATGGACAGATATGTTGTGCGACAGAAGTCCAGTGACTCTCAAGCTGGTCCTAGAGGCATTAAAAGAAGAAGGGAAGTAACCCCGGAAAAGGACTTGCTTCCTCAAGTCCTAATGGAGGGGCATTGCCCTTCTAAACATTAAAAACTTTGACACTCTCCCCTCCTCCCATCCCATCAATCATCACCAGATCTTCATTAAAGGTAAGTGTCAATTATTCTATTGTGATTATTCTATTGTAATTATTGTTATTGTAATTATTATATTGCATTAAACTTAATATTTCATGTGGTAAAAGTTTTTTCTTCATACTTTTGGGTGTCTTGCACAGATTAATTTGATTTCCATTATTTCTTATGGGGAAAATTGATTCGCTTTCCGATAATTTTGGTTTACGATGAGCTCTCAGGAACGGATTAATATCGTGAACCGGGGGTCCACTGTACTTAATTAAGGACTAGCAGAGAACATGTTTAGTTCCTTTGTAACTGTAAGGCAGTGGAGAGGTGTTCCTGTCAAACAATCATGGTAGGACAATCACAACAAATAATCATGTCATAAACTACCATGTACTAAATAGAAGATATTAAAAGTTATAGCAAAGTTACTCAAAATTTACACTAGGGTATATAACTGGCATTTGTTCTTAAAGAAATTATTCTTAATCATGCATTTAATTTTGGATTTTGATCTTATAGAAAATTTAAATAAGTATTTTTAGTTATTAAAGTTGTTTACAATTACAATATCATAATTTGTAAACTATTAGATTTCCTCATACAAATTAGTACTTTATCATTTTTTCTTTTGTTAAGTAGTTTACATTGAACACCAGATTTCATTTTGAATATATCAGAATGAATTACAGAAAAAAATGATCAAAGGCACCTACAGTCACCTTATTTATCTTGACCGCAGAAAAATATTCACTCATACTGTGTGTGTACTCACCTATGTGTGGTTACAAAGGTCCACTCACAGCTCCTCTGTCTGTCTCTCTCTCTCTCTGTGTACTCACCTAATTGTGGTTGCAGGGGTCGAGACTCAGCTCCTGACCCCGCCTCTTCACTGATCACTACTAGGTCTTCTCTCTCTCTCTCTGCTTCCAGAGCTTTGTCATACCTCATCTTAAAGCTATGTATGGTTCATGCCTCCACTACATCACTTGTTAGGCTATTCCACTTCCTGATGACTCTATGACTGAAGAAATACATCCTAACATCCCTCTGAATCGTTTGAGTCTTCAGCTTCCAATTGTGACCCCTTGTTTCTGTGACCCCTTGTTTCTGTGTCCCCTCTCTGGAACAACCTGTCTCTGTCTACCTTATCTATTCCATGCAGTATTTTGTATGTCATTATCATGTCTCCCCTGACCCGCCTGTCCTCCAATGTCGTCAGTCCGATTTCCCTCAACCTTTCTTCATAGGACATACCCTTGAGCTCCGGAACTAGCCTTGTTGCAAACCTTTGCACTTTCTCTAATTTCTTGACGTGTTTGACCAGGTGTGGGTTCCAAACTGGTGCTGGGTCTTCAGCTTCCACTTGTGACCCCATGTTTCTGTGTCCCCTCTCTGGAACAACCTGTCTCTGTTACCTTATCTATTCCACACAGTATTTTGTATGTCATTATCATGTCTCCCCTGACCTGCCTGTCCTCCAATGTCGTCAGTCTGTGTGTGTGTGTGTGTGTGTGTGTGTGTGGTGTGTGTGTGTGTGTGTGTGTGTGTGTGTGTGTGTGTGTGTGTGTGTGTGTGTGTGTGCGCGTGCACGCACATGCATACACTGCATATAGGGCAGATGGGATGGGATGAGAATGAGGATAAGGGGAAAAAAAAGAGAGGACAGTTAAAATGAAAATGGTAGGGGGATGGGAGTAAAAGTTGAAGGATGGGTGTGTATGTGTGTGTATGCACGCACACATATACTGCATATAGGGCAGATGGGATGGGATGAGAATGAGGGTAAGGAAAAAAAAGAGAGAAGAGTTAAAATGAAAATGGTAAGGGGGTGGGAGTAAAAGTTGAAGGATGGGTGATTTAGAAGGTAATGAGAAGGGAGGATTGGAGAGAAGAGAGTAGAGGCAAGGGAGAGAAAGACATGAAAAATGAAAGAATGAGTAACAAGAGTATGGTTAGGGAGATGGAAGAGAAAATATTAGATGGGACAGAGAAATTAAAATTGTATTAAGAGCATATAGGAGAATTATTTATTATTACCTTGTGCTCACAGAGGTCATCTATTTTGGCTCCTAATTTGGCTCGTAGGTAGTAATGATGAAATACTTTTCCATCCCAGAATGCCCATGGAACCGCCTGCCGAGAAATAGATCATAGCTTAACTATTGCCACTGAAACTCATTTTTTATATACTTCGTCCACTAAATTATTTATGAAGTTTCAACCAGATGCTAATGCCATACCTGAGACATGCAAAAAAATTAGTTTAGATGAAATCATTACAAGAAGTTTTAGATGGAAAATTAAAACAATCTGTTGAACAAGAAGGCCATATCCCAGACATGAAGGCAATGAATCCTGTAAGTAGATTAACACACATAAGTAAATAGTTTACCTCTCGGTGGTGATAATAGAAAGATGAAAATATTGTACACTACTGTATTTGTAGCTCTTAGATGTAATTCACTCAAAATTCTCCAAAACTTTAAAAAACAATTATCATTTTAGAATTTCTATTTTTTTTCTAACCCTTTCAGGGTCCAAGGCCAATATCTGAAGTGGTGCCCCAATGTCCAAGAATTTAAAAAAAAAAAAAAATTTATTTTTCTTATGAAATGGTAGAGAATCTTTTTCTGAAGGTAATAAAACAAAAAGTACAAATTTTGATGTGTCAGCGATATTTACGAATTGGCGATTTTGCCGACTTTGACTCCCATTTTAGGCCAATTACATTATTCCAGTCGACCAAATTCTTAGCTATTTAACTAGTATTACTTCTATTCTATCGATTGAGCACAAGAAATCGCCAAGTCAACTGTTTCAACTACAAAATAAAGTGATTGGAAATTGGTAATTTGGCCAATTTAACACAAAGTTCAAAATAGGGTCCAGAATAAACAATGTAGGTATTCCTGGCACTAAACTAACATTTCCTCTGTTCATTAGTTATGTTTTGAGGCTTTACAAATAAATTCCATTTTAATTTTTTATTCACATAATGAATTTTTATTCACACCAAAAAATAGATTTACTGTTATGCAATATTGTAGTAATTGTATAAATATCATCACCATATTTGTGAATGTATATTAGACCCACCAGCTGGTGTGTATTAGACGTGTGAGGTCGTTTGTTTACTCTTGAACATTGGCAAAAATTTAACATTTCCGCTAATTTGAGCTCAGTTTCAAGCCATTTCCAATGCTAAAACCAATCAAAATCATCTCTATATCTGTAATATGTCTTCCCTTCTATCAAATGAGGCCAAGAAATCGCAAATACAACTATAAAAAACATACGAAAAAAACACTACAAAGTCTCTGTTTTGATCGAAAATCATGGTCTCATTTTTTTTTCTCTCATTATAAACAGTGTGCTGCAGGATTTGTTTTATGTGGTGCACACATACCACATAGATGTATTCTCTCATATCTAGGCCCAAATTTACCACTCACAGTTTATCAGAGTGAGCTGAGCTCATTCAAATTCAAACTTTATTCTCTATAAGTATTACAATGCTGAGTTTACAGAATTTGGTTATTGTGTGGTTTACATGTAGTAAATTAATAATTACAGAGTGTACCACTAGAATGCCTAGCATGGCTAGGCATTTCGGGCAGACTTATATTAAATCTTAGGTTTAAAATGTTACAGAATTATGAGATAAGTTGGTATTATGGCTAAGTGACTAAATACTAGTTGTGAGTTTAGCAATGTGAATGCTTTTGTTTTGGCACTATACATAGTTTCAGTATTGGAGTATCACAGGCCAACTTTTGACTAGTTAAGATTCATTATTTTGAGATTGAGATTGATATTTCTGTTTATGGTCAAATGGGTGAGTGAAAGTGTGAACCACCAGGTGGTATTCGTATTATTAGTTGACAGGGTGTATCAGGGAGATAAGATGTTTTCTGATGGTAGTTTTGAAGGTGATGAATGTGTCTGCAGTTTTGGAATTTTCAGGTAGGGTGTTCCAGATTTTAGGGCCTTTGACATACATTAAATTTTTGTAAAGGTTTAGTCGGACACGGGGAATGTCATAGAGATGTTTGTGTCTGGTGTTATGCCTGTGGGTTCTGTCACAACTATCAAGAAAGCGTTTTAGGTCAAGGTTAATATTGGAATTTAAGGTCCTGTAGATGTAGATTGCACAGTAGTAAGTGTGGATGTACTGAACAGGAGTAAGTTTAGATCTATGAAGAGTGGGGGGGTGTGTTGCCAGGGATGGGATTTAGTGATTATTCTTACTGCGGCTTTTTGTTGGGTTATTATTGGCTTTAGGTGTTTTTGCTGCAGTTGAACCCAAGCACAGATAGCATAGGTGAGGTATGGATATATAAGTGAATGGTATAGTGTGAAAAGGGCAGTTTGCGGCACGTAGTATCGTATCTTGGAGAGGATCCCAACCGTTTTGGATACTTTTTTGGTTATGTGTTGGATATGGGTGCCGAAGTTCAGGTTGTTGTCGAGGTATAGGCCTAGGAATTTGCCCTCATTATGCCTGGTAATTAGAGTGTTGGCGATCTTAATGTTAATTTGCGCATCTCCTGCTCTGCTACCAAACATAATGTAGTAGGTTTTGTCAACGTTAAGCGTAAGTTTATTGGCTGTCATCCAAGTCGATATTTTGATCAGCTCCTCATTAACAATGGTGTTGAGGGTTGCAAGACTAGGGTGAGAGATGACATAAGTCGTGTCGTCAGCAAAGAGAATGGGGTTCAGGTGTCGAGATACGTTTGGAAGATCATTGATGTATATGAGGAAGAGCAGGGGACCAAGGACACTTCCCTGCGGAACTCCAGTATCAAGTGGCTGTGTTGTTGATGCTGTGTCTTTAATGGTGACATACTGATACCTATTAGTAAGGTAAGATTTGAAATATGCAAGCGCATGGCCTCTTATACCATAATGGTCAAGTTTGTGGAGTAGGATGCCGTGGTCTACTGTGTCAAAAGCTTTTCTTAGGTCAATAAAAATTCCTAGTGGATATTCCTTATTTTCCAATGCTGTGTAAAGCAGATCTAGCATTTTTATAATTGCATCGTTAGTGCTTTTATTTTTCCTGAATCCAAATTGGCAGGGGTTGAGTATGTTTTGTGACGTTATAAATGAATATAGTCTCCTGTGCACGAGTTTCTCAAAGATTTTGGATAGCAATGGTAAGTTTGATATTGGCCTATAGTTGTTTAAATCTGTAGGGTCACCATCTTTATGTATTGGTGTAACCCTTACCATCTTGAGTAGTTTCGGGAAGGTGCTAGCTTCTAGTGACTTGTTAAAAAGCAATGAGATAGTATGCGAGAGGACATGGGCCACTCTCTTGTACAATAATGGTGGGACATGAGACAGATTCCCTGAGTTATTTTTAAGTGACTTTATAATCTCGGTGACTTCCGTGGACTCAGTTAGAGCAAGATAGAAGGAATTTGGGAAATTCCCATTTAGGTAGTCCCCGGCATGGGCATTGGTACGTGGGATTTTATTGGCGAGATTAGAACCTATGGTTGAGAAGAAGTCGTTTATCTTGTTAGCTGTGTCGGTGGGTTGCAGTGGTGTTTCATTAGGTTTAGTTAGGACAATATTCTTGTTTTTTTCAGTTTGTGGTTCCTTAGAATCTGAGAGAGTGTTTTCCAGGTCTTTTTTTATATCTCCTCTTGTGTCAGTGAATCTACTGGAGTAGTATAGTTGCTTGGCTTTCTTTATTACTTTGGTGAGGACAGATGAATAGTGTTTAAGAATATCTTTGTGTATTAAGCCCTGTCTATATTGCTTTTCATATTGGTGTTTCTTATCAATGGATTTCAGAATGGTGCTGGTTAGCCAGGGGCAACCAAGCCGTTTGTGATCTGTTTCGTTTTTATAGGACAATGTTTGTTGTATAGTCTAAGTAGTTTGTTAAGAAAAATGTCTGTCCAGTCGTCAATACCATTGGCCTTGGAGAATTCTGTAGGCCAGTCAACAATCTCTAGGTCAGCTGTGAACTTCCTTATTGAGGCCTCATCATGGAGTCTAAATGAGACTTTGTTGTATTCAAGTGGTGGTTTACTAATGTTTGTCAAGAGGAAGGTAGGGTAGTGGTCTGTAGTGCTATCTGTGATTATCCCTGATTTAAGGGGGGCTAGTATATTGGTCCATATGTGGTCTATTATGGTTGCACTTGTTTCAGTGAGCCTGGTTGGTTTAGTTATTGTTGGTATGAGAAGTGTGTTGTTCATATTGTTGATGAAATCAGTTACAGGCTGATCATCTAGTAGGCCAAGGCATAGATCTATGGTTTGGACCCTGAACGTAAAGCCATAGATCTACGGGACGGACCCTGAAATTCAATTCAATTCAATTCAAGTTTATTCTCTATAAGGGTTACAATGTGGGGTTTACAGGTTTTGGGTATTGTGTGGTTTACATGTTATAAAATACTAATTACAGAGGGGGCCACTAGGACACCTAGCATGGCTAGGCATTTCGAGCAGACTTAGATTAATTCTTAACATTAAATCCTTACAGATTATGGTATTAACCCTTAAACGGTCCAAAGAGATCAACGTTCAAATTCATAGTGCTACAAAAGTAGATCTACTTTTTTTTACATATTTTCAAATTATTATTATTTTATTATCACACTGGCCGATTCCCACCAAGGCAGGGTGGCCCGAAAAAGAAAAACTTTCACCATCATTCACTCCATCACTGTCTTGCCAGAAGGGTGCTTTACACTACAGTTTTTAAACTGCAACATTAACACCCTCCTTCAGAGTGCAGGCACTGTACTTCCCATCTCAAGGACTCAAGTCCGGCCTGCCGGTTTCCCTGAATCCCTTCATAAATGTTACTTTGCTCACACTCCAACAGCACGTCAAGTATTAAAAACCATTTGTCTCCATTCACTCTATCAAACACGCTCAAAGCATGCCTGCTGGAAGTCCAAGCCCCTCGCACACAAAACCTCCTTTACCCCCTCCCTCCAACCTTCCTAGGCCGACCCCTACCCCGCCTCTCCTTCCACTAAGACTGATACACTCTTGAAGTCATTCTGTTTCGCTCCATTCTCTCTACATGTCCGAACCACTCAACAACCCTTCCTCAGCCCTCTGGACAACAGTTTTGGTAATCCCGCACCTCCTCCTAACTTCCAAACTACGAATTCTCTGCATTATATTCACACCACACATTGCCCTCAGACACGACATCTCCACTGCCTTCAGCCTTCTCCTCGCTGCAACATTCATCACCCACGCTTCACACCCATATAAGAGCGTTGGTAAAACTATACTCTCATACATTCCCCTCTTTGCCTCCAAGGACAAAGTTCTTTGTCTCACAGACTCCTAAGTGCACCACTCACTTCTTTTTCCCTCATCAATTCTATGATTCACCTCATCTTTCATAGACCCATCCGCTGACACGTCCACTCCCAAATATCTGAATACGTTCACCTCCTCCATTACTCTCTCCCTCCAATCTGATATTCAATCTTTCATCACCTAATCTTTTTGTTATCCTCATAACCTTACTCTTTCCTGTATTCACCTTTAATTTTTTCTTATGCACACCCTACCAAATTCATCCACCAATCTCTGCAACTTCTCTTCAGAATCTCCCAAGAGCACAGTGTCATCAGAAAAGAGCAGCTGTGACAACTCCCACTTTGTGTGTGATTCTTTATCTTTTAACTCCACGCCTCTTGCCAAGACCCTCGCTTTTACTTCTCTTACAACCCCATCTATAAATATATTAAACAACCACGGTGACATCACACATCCTTGTCTAAGGCCTACTTTTACTGGGAAATAATTTCCCTCTTTCCTACATACTCTAACTTGAGCCTCACTATCCTCGTAAAAAACTCTTCACTGCTTTCAGTAACCTACCTCCTACACCATACACTTGCAACATCTGCCACATTGCCCCCCTATCCACCTGTCATACGCCTTTTCCAAATCCATAAATGCCACAAAGACCTCTTTAGCCTTATCTAAATACTGTTCACTTATATGTTTCACTGTAAACACTGGTCCACACACCCCTACCTTTCCTAAAGCCTCCTTGTTCATCTGCTATCTATTCTCCGTCTTACTCTTAATTCTTTCAATTATAACTCTACCATACACTTTACCAGGTACACTCAACAGACTTATCCCCCTATAATTTTTGCACTCTCTTTTGTCCCCTTTGCCTTTATACAAAGGAACTATGCATGCTCTCTGCCAATCCCTAGGTACCTTACCCTCTTCCATACATTTATTAAATAATTGCACCAACCACTCCAAAACTATATCCCCACCTGCTTTTAACATTTCTATCTTTATCCCATCAATCCCGGCTGCCTTACCCCCTTTTATTTTACCTACTGCCTCACGAACTTCCCCACACTCACAACTGGCTCTTCCTCACTCCTACAAGATGTTATTCCTCCTTGCCCTATACACGAAATCACAGCTTCCCTATCTTCATCAACAATTTAACAATTCCTCAAAATATTCCCTCCATCTTCCCAATACCTCTAACTCTCCATTTAATAACTCTCCTCTCCTATTTTTAAACTGACAAATCCATTTGTTCTCTAGGCTTTCTTAACTTGTTAATCTCACTCCAAACTTTTTCTTATTTTCAACAAAAATTTGTTGATAACATCTCACCCACTCTCTCATTTGCTCTCTTTTTACATTGCTTCACCACTCTCTTAACTTCTCTCTTTTTCTCCATATACTCTTCCCTCCTTGCATCACTTCTACTTTGTAAAAACTTCTCATATGCTAACTTTTTCTCCCTTACTACTCTCTTTACATCATCATTCCACCAATCGCTCCTCTTCCCTCCTGCACCCACTTTCCTGTAACCACAAACTTCTGCTGAACACTCTAACACTACATTTTTAAACCTACCCCATACCTCTTCGACCCCATTGCCTATGCTCTCATTAGCCCATCTATCCTCCAATAGCTGTTTATATCTTACCCTAACTGCCTCCTCTTTTAGTTTATAAACCTTCACCTCTCTCTTCCCTGATGCTTCTATTCTCCTTGTATCCCATCTACCTTTTACTCTCAGTGTAGCTACAACTAGAAAGTGATCTGATATATCTGTGGCCCTCTAAAAACCCATGTACATCCTGAAGTCTACTCAACAGTCTTTTATCTACCAATACATAATCCAAAAAACTACTACTGTCATTTCCCGCCCTACATCATATCTTGTTATTTTATTTATCCTCTTTTTTTTTAAATATGTATTACCTATAACTAAATCCCTTCTATACAAAGTTCAATCAAAGGGCTCCCATTATCATTTACACCTGGCACCCCAACTTACCTACACACCCTCTCTAAAAGTTTCTCCTACTTTAGCATTCAAGTCCCCTACCACAATTACTCTCACTTGGTTCAAAGGCTCCTATACATTCACTTAACATCTCCCAAAATCTCTCTCTCTCCTCTGCATTCCTCTCTTCTCCAGGTGCATACACGCTTATTATGACCCACTTCTCGCATCCAACCTTTACTTTAATCCACATAATTCTTGAATTTACACATTCATATTCTCTTTTCTCCTTCCATAACTGATCATTTAACATTACTGCTACCCCTTCCTTTGCTCTAATATAACAAAAAAAATGTAGATAAAAGATTTTTTACACGTTTTCAAATGTAAAACAAAAAAGAAGATCTACATTTTTTTACATACTTTCAGATGTTGAAAAAACATATATATACGGTTTTGGACCATTTAAGGGTTAAGGCTAAGTGACTACATAAGAACAAAAACCTTATTGTTCCTTACAAATTTCTGGAAACTTTGGCAATTTTTCTGAATAAATGATTACTTTCTGAAATTCTAAATACAGAATCATCTCAATTAAAAATTTACAAATATCAAGAGAGCATTCCAAAATTTCAAAAACTTATACTGAAAAAATAACCATAATTTTATCTAATATAAATGTACAAGAGAATACTGGTACCAACACTCTTATACGAGTGTGAAGCATGGTTTGTTAATGTTGCAACGAGGAAGCTGGAGGCAGTGGAGATGTCATGTCTAAGGGTAATGTGTGGTGTAAATATTATGCAGAGAATTCGTAGTGTGTAAATTAAGAGGTGGTGTGGAGTTGCAAAAAGTATTATTCAGAAGGATTTAGAGACGGCCGACTTGTTGAAAAAAAAATTGAGGTATGGGGAAGTGGAACAGAATTCTTCCTCCGTAAGCCATGCGTGTCGTAAGAGGCGACTAAAATGCCGGGAGCAAGGAGCTAGTAACCCCTTCTCTTGTATATATTACTAAATTTAAAAGGAAAAACTTTCGTTTTTCCTTTTGGGCCACCCCACCTCAATGAGATACAGCTGGTACGTTGAAAGAAAGAAGAAAGATTGAGGTGGTTTGGTCATTTAGAGAAGTTGGAGCAAAATGGAGGGTGTATAAATCTGTAGTGGAGGGGAGGAGAGGTAGAGGTCATCCTAGGAAAGGATGGAGGCAGGGGGTAAAAGAGGTTTCATATGCAAGGGGCCTGGACATGCAGCAGGCTTGTGTGAGCATGTTAAATAGGAGTGAATGGAGACAAATAATTTTTGAGACCTGATGAGCTGTTGGAGTGTGAGCAGGGTAATATTTTGTGAAGGAATTCAGGGAAACCAGTTATCCTGATTTGTGTCCTGGAGGTGGGAAGTACAATGCCTATACTTTAACCCTTAAACTGTCCAAACAAATTTACGTTCACATGCGTAATGCTCTAAAAGTAGATCTACGTTTTTTTACATATTTTCAAATATAACAAAAAAAAAAGTTGATCAAAGTTTTTTTTATATGTTTTCAAATGTAAAAAAAAAAAGAAAAGAAGATCTACTTTTTTACATACTTTCAAATGTTGAAAAAATGTAGATCTACGTTTGGACAGTTTAAGGGTTAAAGAAGGGGTTTGAGATACTGGCTGTTTGGAGTGACATCTGAGCTGCCATGTCTAGGTGCCTCTGCAAAGATAGTGATTATTTATAAATGATGGTGAAAGTGTTTGTTTCTTATTTGGATCACCCTGCCTTGGTGGGAGATGGCTTGCGTGTTAAAAAAATAGAAATAAATTTAAAGTAAAAATTCCCGTGTTAATTTAGAAAAAACTTGAGCAAAAGTTTTAAATTATAATTCAGAAAAAATATTTTTCTGAATTCTTTGTCTATATAGAAGAGGGGTATCTTTTTTTTCTACATTTTAGAAGCCCCTTCATGTACATTATTTTAATAGGAGATAAATTGCATAATCTTGTAAATTATTATTTTAAGTATTGCATTTAGATACAGGATTAAATTATATACAAAAATGATTATAATAATTTGTGTAAAGTCCTACTTACATATTTTCGTTCAACTGGAAAGTCACATGCTGCCAGGAGAAAATAGAAATTGGCCAGTCCCTTCATGAAGATGGCAGCGACATGCACAGCTCTAGCATCAATTCTTGGGAGTGCAATGGCACGAATCTGGTTAAGGTCTTCTCGTATTGGGGACAAAAAAGCAGCCATCATGGCATTCATCTCCCAGTCCTTTAAGATTGGCTTCGGATGACTGCACTGTTATTACAAAGAAAAAATACAAAATAACAGTTTTTTTTTTTTGGGTGTGTATGAATGTATTCATCTATATGTGGTTACAGGAGTAGAGTCACAGCTCCTGGCCCCATCTCTTCACTAGTTGCTACTAGATCCACTCTCTCCCAGCTTTAACCCCTTGACTGTCGCAACCCCAAATCCTGAGGTGTCTCCTGGTGTCGCAAAATTAAAAAAAAAAAAAAAAAACTTATGAAATGATAGAGAATCTTTTCCCGATTGTAATGACACCAAAAGAACAAAATTTGATGGAAAACTGGCAGAATTACACTCTTGCAAAGTTAGCGACCTCAGCGATATTTACGAATCATCAATTTCGCTTACTTTGACCCCTATTTTCGGCTAATTCCATTGTTCCAATCGGCCAAACTCGTAGCTATTTCTTTAGAACTCCATTTTATCTATCGATTGAGTACAAGAAACTCCCCATTTACTGATTTCAACTACCTAATAACTTGGTCAGAAATTTGCAATTTGGCCAATTTCACGAAAATTAAAAAATATGACAATTTCAAAATAGGGTCCAGAATGAACAATGCAGACATTCCTGGCTCTAAAATAACATTTTCTTTGTTCATCAGTCACGTCTCCAGGCCCCTCTGATATTACTCTTGCTTTCTATTTTGAATTTTTATTCAAACAAAAAATAGAAGATTTACTGTTATGCAGACTACTGCAATATTGTAATAATTGTATAAATAATGTCAACCCATTCATGACTGCATATCAGAATGGCTACTTGGACATTTATTGGAAAATAACATCATTTGTTTACTTTTGAACATCAGCAAAAATCAAACATTTCCTCTACTTTGAGCTCCATTTCAAGATTCTTTTCATAGTAAAACCAATCAAAATCACCTCTATTTCTATAATATGTTTTCCATTCTATCAAATGAGATCAAGAAAACAAGAATACAACCATAAATACTATAAGAAAATAGACCACAAAGTCGGCATTTTAATTAAAAAAAAAAAAAAAGGTTGGAGTTTTTTTTTCTCATTATGCACTGTGTGCTGCAGGATTTTTTATATGGTGCACACTGACCACACAGATGCATTCTTTCACATGTGGGCCTACCAGCTTTCTCCTGCTTGATTTGAAGCCACTAGAATTTATGAGTATATATACGTCAAAAACGGTGGCTTGTAAGACGTATATATACGACCAAAACAGTCAAAGGGTTAAGAGCCTTGCTGTACCTCTTCCTAAAGTTATACATATGTATATGGATCCTTCCTCTACCACTTCACTCTCCAAACTGTTCCACTTTCTGGCAACTCTAAGGTTGAAGAAGTACTTACTAACACTGCTATGATTAATCTGAGTTTTCAACTTTCAGGTGTGCCCTCTTGCTCCTCTTTCCCATCTCTGAAACATTCTGTCCATGTTCACCTTGTCAGTTCCTCTAAGTACGTATCTGTACATTATTATCATATTCTCCCTATTCTTTCTGGCCTCCAGTGTCATCAGCTTGAGTTCCTAATAATGTTGGTAGAATTACCGACAACATGTAAAGTAAAAGGACACAAGTGCAACTAATGTGACATTTTATTGTGGCAATGTTTTGCTCTAACGGCTTGACAAAGCTCCTGGAGAGTGAAACGTTGTCACAGTAAAATGTCACATTAGTTGCACTTGTGTCCTTTTACTTTACAGCTTGAGTTCCCTTAACCTCTCCAGTTCTAGTCTTGCTGCAAACCTCTGCACTTTCTCCAATTTCTTGATATGCTTGACCAGGTGTGGGTTCCACACTCATGCTGTATACTCCATTGTGGGCCTGACATACACGGTGTATGGTGTTGTGAATGATTCCTTACTTAGATGTTGAAAAGCTATTCTTAGATTTGCCAGATGCACTTTTTTTTTCAGCAGTTATTTAGTTGACTTGCGCCTCAGGGGATGTGCTCGGTATTCACCCCAAGGTCCTTCTCCTTGAGTGAGGTTTGCAGCCTTTGACCCCCAAGCCTATACTCCATCTTTGGTCTTCTTTGTCCTTCCCCATGCTTCATAATTTTCCACCTTGGTGAGGCTAAACTCAATGAGTCATTTGTCATACCATGCCTGTAGCCTATCCTGATCCCTCTGTAGCCTTTTCCTGGTTCTCATCTGCTTGTATTCTCATTAGTTTATTGTCATCTGTAAACAGGGATAACTCTAACTCTATCCATTCTGTCATGTCATTCACATATACAAGAAACAGCACTGGCCCTAGGACTGATCCTTGTGGAACCCCACTTGTCACATGCACCCTTTCCAACACCATCACTTGTTGTTTCCTTTCTGTCAGGTACTCCTTGATCCACTGCAATGCTTTTCCTGTTATTCCTACCAGCTCCTCTATCTTACATACCAGTCTCTTGTGCAGTATTGTGTTAAAAGCCTTCTTACAGTCCAAGAAAATGTAATCCTATTTCCCCCTCCCTTCCTGTCTGTCTCTGTCTCTCTCTCTGTGTCTGTCTGTATCTGTCTGTCTGTCTGTGTGTACTCACCTAGTTGAGGTTGCAGGGGTCGAGTCCGAGCTCCTGGCCCTGTGTGTGTGTGTGTGTGTGTGTGTGTGTCTGTGTGTGTGTCTGTGTGTGTCTGTGTGTGTGTGTGTGTGTGTCTGTGTGTCTGTGTGTGTCTGTGTGTGTGTGTGTGTGTCTGTGTGTGTCTGTGTGTGTCTGTGTGTCTGTGTGTGTCTGTGTGTGTGTGTCTGTGTGTGTGTGTCTGTGTGTGTGTGTCTGTGTGTGTGTGTCTGTGTGTCTCTCTCTGTGTCTCTCTCTATGTCTCTCTCTGTCTCTCTCTGTGTCTCTTCTGTGTCTCTCTCTGTGTCTCTCTCTCTCGTGTCTCTCTCTGTGTCTCTGTCTCTCTCTCTCTCTCTCTCTCTCTCTCTCTCTCTCTCTCTGTGTCTGTCTCTGTCTCTGTCTCTCTCTCTCTCTCTGTCTCTCTCTCTGTCTCTCTCTCTCTCTCTCTCTCTCTCTCTGTCTCTCTCTGTCTCTCTCTCTCTCTCTCTCTCTCTCTCTCTCTCTCTCTCTCTGTGTCTGTCTCTGTCTCTGTCTCTCTCTCTCTCTCTGTCTCTCTCTCTGTCTCTCTCTCTCTCTCTCTCTCTCTCTCTGTCTCTCTCTGTCTCTCTCTCTCTGTCTCTCTGTCTCTCTCTCTGTCTCTCTGTCTCTCTCTCTCTCTCTCTCTCTCTCTTACTTCTGTTAGTGTGACAAAATTTTTCATCCCCAAAGCCATGCGGGCTGTTACATTATGAACCCACTCTTTTCTAGCTGCTCCACCACTCTTTTGATAAACTTCTCCATAATTTTATACACTATACATGTCAGTGACACTGGTCTGTAGTTTAATGCTGCCTGTTTGTCTCCTGAGTTTGAGTGTACATGCATGTGTTAGTTACCACTTGGCCTGTTATGCATTATGTGTGTGTCAGTTAGTTATTAGTTGTTACAGATACTTGTTGATAGACACCCAGACTGTTCTGCTTGTGTATGTGTACTTGCCTAGTGTGCATGTTTGCATGCACATGCGAGTGTGTGTGCCTCTCCCTCCAGGTGTCATATTTATTATTTCATATTTAGTGGAAAGTTTCATTCCAAATTTATTACTGTATATTTATTTAATAATATTCATATTGCACATGCCTCAAATTAGTTAACTGTATATTAATTCTTTAGCTAACCTGTAAATAGAAGAGAATTGCAACTGGTACAATGAGATGTGGAGGAAGAGTGCGAATCTTGGTTTCATTTAATACTGGATGAACAGAGTCAAGGAAGGTTCTCCACTTAAGGTCTTGATCACCATCCCACAGCTCCTCCAGTGATGGACTTCCTCCTGTAAATTACTTATTTACAAATTAAGTCCTCAAAACTGTTTCATACAGGTAATATGAAGTGAACATTATTAGTTTCCAAAGCAACAACTTTTCTTAAATTACAATATATTCTTTTTTATTTTCCTGCTTGGAAGACTTGAAATCTGCTTTGTCAGAACTACAATGTTTTGCCTATAGTACCCCTCAGGGAAGGTTCCTTTATGTTGGTGAGGGGCTCTTGATTTAGAGAATTGGATCTGTGCTCCAGTTCCCCGAATTAAGCCTGAATGCCTTCCACACACCCCCAGGCGCTGTATAATCCTACGGGTTTAGTGCTTCCCCTTTGATTATAATAATCATAATTTGCCTATAGTCTGCTTTCTATAATTCTGTTTCATTCCTTTCAGAAAATTCTCTTGTTACTGATACTTTGTGCTGCTTTTGCATTCAAATCTTTAGTGACTCTGGCTGCTTCCTTTCCAAAAGGCTTAAAGAGTGAAGAAGAAGTATTCACCTTGTTGGCACTTCATTTCTGTAATGTTAGGGACTATAACCATCCCATAAGCTAGTCCACTTCTGGTATACTCTTTACCTCTTTGTCTTTATAAATGCAAATGAACTGAAGTAGCTCTAATACACAACATGCCTAACATGAATCTTAGTCCTGATTGTTTTGGTACATAACAATCAGAATGTCTCCCAATATACTGTCAAATGATTTATCTTAAAAAAAAAAGTGAATAAACATGACCTTTGCCAACTCATCTTCACTGCCTTGCCTTTACTTTTGGCTTTTGCACTGTTTCTACTCACACTTTTCTTAATAATAGTCCAGCAAAGACTGAAATATTGACTATTATATTTCCAAATTATTATAACCATAGTACTGTGAATTATTATTATACATTATTATATTTATTATTCTCACTCTACTGCTATCAAATGCACTTCATAAATAGTTAATTTCCAACACCTATATTCTAGGCTTCTTGTTATATAAGAATGTCCATATCTCTTATTTCATATACTGTAAATATATATATACGTGTACCTCTGCACAATCCTTCGCAATTAACCTTCTTTGTACTGCTCCAGTTTGTCAGGTGCACCACATTTACACAAAATTTATTTTCACTATTCCTAACTAATCAAATATTTTTCTTGCAATCCTTGAAACTCCATATTTTTTCTTTATCTATGTCAAGCAAAACCTTACAATTCACTCTTAATACCTTTTAGAAACCATCAACATTTACCTTTAATGTTATGCTATTAATTAATGTAAAACTCATTTATCATTTACTAAATTTACTTTTTATACCCTCAATAATGGATAATATATCGGGGAACAACCAGTCCATCAGTAAGGCTCACATTTTTCCAGCTGGTTCCACCCTGGCTTTTATTTTCTCTAATATTGCTTTTATCTAATTCATTATTTCATTTACACATACAAGGGTAGCATTATATCCAATTATATCACCTAAGTAATATAGTACACAATTTGTCATTTTCATTCTCTTTAAAAAACATTCACACCAGCCACAATGGACACAATTAAGACACTTATATACAAGTTGAACTTACCTTCCAATTCCACAGGATCTACCATGTCTGGTTCCTTCAGTGTGCTACCAGAGTACATGCACCACTCTGGAACCTGGGTCCACCCATCTGTTAATATCAAATTGATGTAAATTTTTTTAAATCCTGTCAATCAATCTCTTAAACTGTATACGGTACACCTTTTTCCTATACAACAAGGTGGCTACATTTATCCTACATAACTTGGAAAAACACACACACTCCTTAAGTGCATGTGTAGTGGGGGTTTGTAGGAGATATGATGGTTGGAGTTAAACACACTTGTTGGATGGTAACACTTATATTAGCAGAGTATGAAGGGGGAGAGCCCAAACTGCCTGTCCTGTCACCTGCTTGGATAACGGGGAACTGAGGCTGATGCAGCGCATCCCACGCCCTCATGCGGCATCACGTGATGTCATACAAACTAGTCACTAGACCTAGCAAAGGGGCCGTGTATGTAAAACATGTGGATGGTACTAACTATGATACTCAGATAAGCTATACAACACATGTAGGGGATCAGCAACTATGCTGACACATGTTTATCTTATATATCATAGGCCCTTCTCACAGAATACTGGAGGGAGTAAAAGTGGCAAAATTACCAATAAAAATATGAATAAAAACAACAGCACACAGACAAGCCATTATTATAGAAAAAGTTTTACATGTGATAAGCTACTGTACATAAATCAATGTAATCCAATATAACAAAAGAGCCCACATGATTACTTTGAGCAATGCAAATTACAGTGGTACCTTGGTATACGTCCTTAATCTGTTCCAGGACCCTGGACTCATACCAAACTGGACGTATACCAAACAAATTTTTCCATAAGAAATATAGGGAAAACGGTTAATCTGTTACCATGAAAAAAATCCTATTGTTATTGGCATATTATACATTGATGGGGTTGTATAAAATAATTTAAACTGTTTAAAAAAATATACTAAAATATGTAAATTAATAAACACTGCTTAATACTAAAATACATACATAAATACAAAAGAATTAGATGAAACAAATGCAAATTTAACCTCACTGAAAAGAGTCGAGTGCCTACTAGGATAGTGCTGAGAAGGGAGGAGGAGGAAATGTTATTGTTTGGAAGGAGTCCCCTTCTCTTTTCTGTCTCTTTTTCCTATTTGGACCTGGTTCAAGCTCACCAGGTTTGACGAAAAATCTGTCCAAAGAACTTTGCTTCTGCCTTCTCACGATGTTTCGGAAATGTGACATTGTCTGGTCATTCCAGACAATGCTATTATGGCTTATTTGGGCTTTGTTGGGGTGGTACTTCTCTGCAAAGTTTTTGACATCCATCCATTTGGCAGAGATTTCCTTGATTACGGAAGTATTGGCTTCCTCTATCTCCTGTTCCGAACCTGAAGGGAGTGCATCCATCTTAGTCTTGTGCTCCTCTTCTCAGATTCCTGCAGCTCCTCAGTGGTCAGCTATTCCCTGTGCCCCTCCACTAATTCCTCCACATCACCATCACTCACATCCAGACCCATGGACCTGCCCAGAGAGACAATATCCTCCACTACAGACACAGCCTCAAAGTCCCTTTCAGCCACTGCTTCTGGGTACAAATTCCTCCAAGCAGAGTTCATTATTCTGTATGAAACTTCCTGCCAGGCTTTGTCAATGAGAGTTATGGAATGGGTGATAGCAAAGTGATCTTTGCAAAACTCTCTCAGGGTTAACTCTGTGTCAGAGGTCACTTCAAAGCACCTCTGGAATAGTGCTTTAGTGTAGAGTTTCTTGAAATTACTGATGACCTGCTGATCCATGGGCTGAATGAGAGGAGTTGTGTTAGGGGGAAGAAACTTTACAGTGATTAACCCTTTGACTGTCGAAGGGCCCAATCCTGAAGTGTCTCCTGGTGTCGCAAAATATTCGAAAAAAAAAAAAATTATTTTTTCTTATGAAAATGTTAAGATTATTTTTCTGATTGTTTTAGTCCCCCCAAAAAAATTTTCCCATCAGTACTTACCGAGATATAGAGTCCTGAACTTTGCTGAAATTGATCTGCTGGCGGCAACAGCGGCGACTGCCGCTCACCCGGTAAACTTTTATTTACTTGTATTCGATGGTTTCTTGTTTTTTTCACTATTTTATTTTTTCACATAACTTTTGTGGCCTGTGAGACCAAATTATTGTGCAATGTTCAAATATACACTCGTTGAATGTAACACAATTATAGCAAAAACACTCGTATCATTATAATGTTGCTAAAACTTGTTTACACAAACAAACAATGTAAACAAATGTTTATTACGATTGCTTTATAATATATATACATATGTACAATCACTGGACACTTTACTAGAAGTGCTGCAGCTTGTGGGAATTCTTTGAAACATGGGTATAAGCACAATGGTGTCTTACACTCCTCACACATAAAACGAGTGTCTCTGCATTTTTGTGGGCATTTTGTGGTATGTCCACAGACAAAACACCTCTTCTGAGCATTTTTCTTGGCAGTAGTAGCAGGCAGTGGTATGGGGTAGTGATCACCAGGCCTCAGACGAGAGGACATGTGTTGATAATTTCGTGGGCGCTGGTCTATTGCAGGTGTTGTTTCTTGGTACTTGAATATTATTTGTCTGATGACTGACAAACAAAATTCACCATATTTGGGTTTCTTCTTGGTCTTCAACTTATACATATTATAAGTATTCAGCATGGAAATGTCAAGAAGATGGAAAAACAGTTTTATGTACCACTTATAACTCTTGCGAACACAGTCAGCAAACCCAATCTGCATGTCACATTTGTCCACTAAGCGCATATTGAGGTTGTAATCCATCACAGCTGCAGGTTTTACAATAGGTTCATTGGTCTCTCTATTCTGTTTGCCAGTCTCTACCATTTCGTGTCAGTGAACTGATGTCAGCAGAGTGACATCACGTTTGTCATGCCACCGAAATGCCATGATGTCATTGGCAGCAAACACCTGCACTTCACCTCTACGACTGCCAGCTTCGAACCTAGGCATATGTTTACGATTTCTACGCACTGTGCCACACACATCTGTCATGTTCACTCGCAAGAAATCACTGAGTATAGGGCTTGTGTACCAGTTGTCAGTATATAAAATATGCCCCTTACCAAGATATGGCTCCATCATTGTTCTAACCACATCACCAGAGATACCCAGTAACTTCCTGGTATCTTCCATTGTTTTACCGCCAGTGTACACAATTATATCCAAAACCAGACCAGTTTTGCAATCACACAGAACAAAATAACTTTATACCAAAGCGTTTCCTCTTGCTTGGTATATACTGCTTGAATGAGAGTCTTCCTTTGAACAAAATCAAAGACTCGTCAATAACAAGCTTCCTGAAGGGATAAAAATACATACAGCACTTTTGTTTCAGGTACATAAACACACGTCTGATCTTATATAACCTGTCGCTTCTGTCAGGCCTGGTTTTGTCTGAAAAGTGTAACATACGTAACAGTAACACAAATCTATTCACTGGTATAATGTCACTGAAAGCAGGGGTTGAAATCAGGCGGTCTGTCGCCCAGTATGTGTTGACACTATGCTTATACACATGTGGCATAAGCATTATTGTGGCAAAGAACAGATACATCTCTGCCAAAGTTGTGTCCTTCCACTGGTGTAGGCGTGATCTTGGTGAAAGCATAGTGTTTGCCATGGTGTACTCATAGTATGTATTGCTTTCCCTGACAATAATGTCCATCAGGGGTTCATCGAAGAACAACTGAAAGCATTCCAGTTCAGTGGGATTATTCCCAAGTGTACATGATGGCCGTATTCCACTTTGTCCTCCATCAAAGTCATGGGGATTGGGAACAAACTCGTCATCTTGATGCCAATCCCAGATGCGGTCAGCTGGTGCGTTCTGGATATTGTAATGTCGTTGTGGTTGTGCAGGTTGTGGTTGTGGTTGTGAGAGTGTGGGGTCGGCCGAGGCGGGTTGTAGTTGTGCAGAGTCAGCAGCGTGGGCACTAGCGTGGCCCGCTGCTGGTGTCACATGACTCATGGCACCGTCACTATCACCACCACCGCCTGCTGCCTCACTCACATCATTTATACCCATCGTAACAATATCGTCATCTTCACTATCAGGACGTGGTGTAGGGCCACGGGATGTGCTCCGAGATGTACTCCTTCCTCTTGGAAGAGCATATGGCACACTACCAGACCGCATGCGACGTCGTATATACTGCCGCTTCACTGGGGAATATTCACCCTCACTGTCACAACTAGAAGTGCTTTCAATAACCTTGAAATCACTATCACTTGCACTGCTCACATCTGAGTCTTGTACACGGGCAAATAGTTTCCTCTTTCGTCTTGGTACAGGTGAACATGAACGAGCCGGCCCAGCACCAGTGGTGGATGGTTGTGGGTCATCTGGGTTTTCATCACTAATTATGTTATCCTGGGTAATTTTCTCAGTCACACCCGCTTCAAAACCAGGGAATTCACTTTCACTGACACTATCATCACTGTTTGAGCTGTCACTTGGGAACAAAAGACCTCCAATCCGCCGAGGAGTGAGGAACTTCTTACCGTGAGGCATGGTGAAAATGGACTACCAAGATGGCGTTCCCACAATGCACCGCTGAGTCCCAGATTTTTTTCACAGGGTGCACACCGACCACTGAGACCCATTCTCTCTCGTATAGGCCTACCAGCCCTCTCCCGCTTGATTTGAAGCTGCTAGAATTTATGCGTATAGATACGTCAAACACGGTATCTCCCATGACGTACATATACGACCGCGACAGTCAAAGGGTTAAGTCAAACTCTATCAGCACACAGTCCTGCAAGCTTAGAGGGTGAGCTGGAGCATTGTCCATTATGAAGAGAGCCTTCAGAGGCAGGTTTTCTCCTCTAAATAATTTTTCACACTTGCCCCAAACACAACATTAAACCATTCACTGAAATATTCTCTGGTTACCCAAGCCTTGCTGTTTAACCTCCACATCACAGGTAGCTGAGTTTTCTGCAAGTTATGTTTTTTAACCCTCAAACTGTCCAAACGTAGATCTACGTTCGCCTGCGTGGCATTCCGAATACAGTGGACCCTCAACCAGCGATATTAAT